ATGCTGTATCTTCTCCCACACTGTAGCTTGCCCTTTCTCTTCTTAATGGTATCTTTTAATGAACAGTTTTTTTTTTAATTTGCCAGAGAGCACATGTGCTTGTCTGAGAGAAAGAGGGAAGTGAGAAAACACCCCCTGTGGTTGAGGGTCACGCCAGGATCCCTTCTTCCCCATTCTCCTTTTGGAACATTGGGCACGCATGCAAGCGCAAATGCCCAGCATGGTTTCCAGGCCTCTGGGTCCAGGACTCAAATTGTGCAGGGTGGCATCCAGCCCTCCCAAGCCATTGGCTAGCCCCAAAAGGTTTTAATTTTAATGTACTCAAATGTATCAACCTTTTATTTTGTAATTTGTATGGCCTATTTAAGAAATCTTTCCTGGGCTTGGGGACCAGCAGGTGGCATGGTGGTTAAGGTGGTGGACACTCCCACATGGCTGACCACAGTTCATGTCCTGGACCTGTAGGCTTGCTTTCTCACTTTCTCTCTCTCTCTCTCTCTCTCTCTCTCTGTGTGTGTGTGTGTGTGTGTGTGTGTGTGTCTGGTCAAAAGTAAAGAAAAAAAAAAAGAATGAATAAATAAAATTAAAAACAATTCTTTAAGAAAACAAAAATCCTTCCTGGGCTGGCCCAATAGCACGACAGTTAAGAAATGCCACATGGCTGATCACTGTTCAAATCCTGGCCTCAATGGCTCAAAACAGAACAAGCTGGGCTTCTGCATGTGTGCCCAGGATCCTGAAAGGATGGAGAAATGAAAGAAAAAAGAACTACAACATGACCAGGCCCTGCTAAGGGGAGTGGTTTCCCTCTCTGTCACTCTTTCTCTTCCTCTCTCTCTTTCTCTTTTATATGTACCTTGCACCAATATACACTGTTTTAATTAATGCGACTTTACGACGATTCTAAAAATTCAAGAAAATAAGCCTTACCTTGTTCTTCACTATTACCAATACTAATTTTAGCCTTGGTGTTTCTTTCTTTCTATTTTTTTTTTTTAGAATTATTTGTTTTATTTATTCATTCATTTATTTTAATTTACCCAGAGAAAGACAGACACAGAGAGAAGAAAAGTGAGAAGGCAAGCCACCAGATCTGGGACTCAAACTGTGGTCAGCCATGCGGGAATGTCCAGCACCTTAACCACCACGCCACCTGCTGGCCCCAGCCCTTGGCATTTCTGTATAAATTTTAGAATCAGTTTGTCAAGTTTCTCAAACATAGATGAATAAATAAACTAAATAAAACCCATGCCATAGGACATATGCACTTGCCAGAGAGAGACAGAGAGAGACAATGAAACAGAAAGTGAGAAATCACCCCAGGAGGGATAGCCAGGCTGCAATCCCTTCTCCACTCCCCTCCTGGGGTTTTGGGCACACACACACACACACACACACACACACACACACGCTCACGCCGACCATGATGTTCGAGTCACCAATGGTGGTCGGCCACGAGCAAGTCCAGTCCAGCACCTTAACCAACACACCACCTGCTGGTCTCAGTCCTGTACATTTTATTATTGTTTTTGTTGCTGTTGGATTCAATGCTAGGTGTTTGCTATTTTGATGCTATTGTAAATAATACACAGGTTTATCATCCTTAATCAAAATGTCCAAAATCTGAAAAGCTCCAAAATTTGAATTTTTTTGAGTGCTAATATGATGCCACAAGTGGAAAATTCCACACTTGACCTCATGTGATGCACTGCAGTTAAAACAAAATATCAGGACCAGCGGTTGATGTAAAGGCTATGTCCCTGGACTCCCACGTAGTCGACCACGGTTTGAGTCCCGGACATCATGGCTTAAACTCACACTGGACGTGTGTGCATGCGTGCCCAAGATCCCAAGAGGACAATGGAGGAGAAGGGATTGCGGCGTGGCCATCCCCCCTGGGGGGTGATTTCTTGCTTTCTGTCTCTCTGTCTCTCTCTGTCTTTCTGGCAAGCGCATGTGCCCCATAGCAAAAACCTCTCCAAAAAAGAAAAAAAAAAAGACCATGAATATCCTGAA